GAGAAGGATGTAGAACAAAATTCTAACTCACAAAAAAAGACCAGATTTACTGGCCTAAAGGAGACTGGAGAAACCTCGAGAGTATGGCCCCCAGATACCCTTCTAGCTAAGAGGTGAAGTCATCTCCGAGCTTCACCGTTCAGCCTGGGAGTGGACAGCCCCATAAAACCAAATGGTACTAATGATGTACAGCAGTCCAGGGACAAGGGCCAGAAGGCAGAAGGGGACAGGGAAGCTGGTGATAGGGAACCCAAGGTTGAGTAAGGATAGCGTAGATCTGTTGTGAGGTTGTTAACCATTGTCATAGGGCAACATTTGTAGTAACTATTAAATGAGAAACTATTTTGTTCTGTAAGCCTTCATCTAAAGTGAGAATAGCAGCACAGCTGGAAGAGTGCAGTCGATGTCACTGAACTGTGCATGTAAAAATTTTTGAAATGGTGTGTCTTTGGCTATGTATATTTTCACCAAAAAAAAAAAACGTCGAGAAGGGAGAGGGTTGACATGTTGTGGGGTTGTTAACCAACGTCATAAAACAATATGTGTACTACTGTTTCATGAGAAACTATTTGTTCTGTAAGCCTTCAACTGAAGTACAATTTAAAAACAAAAAAAAAGGAATAACTGTGGAGCCTTTACCATATGTAAAAATCTCTTAATACCCTGCCCTCAAGATTTGGAAATTGGTTACAATTCCAGAGTAATCACTAAAATGCATGAACAGTTTCTGAAAACTTGTGTCATAATGGCTGTATGCTGTTTTCGAGGGATTGCACAAAGCAAAAATTCTATAATTATGATATAAAGTTGAAGGGAAATACTTTGGGGAAAGCTATTTAGCTTTGATAGATAGAAAGATAAAGGGACAAACAGACAAACAATAAATATAGAGATGATATAGAAACAGACAATAGAGTTACAGAGAAAGAGAGAGAAAGGAAATAGAGAAATAGATGACCTGGAATCTTTATAGTGAGAAGATACATCTTAAATTACCTATGTCAAATGAATTGAATTTCCAAGAAAATATCAAAAAACAAGTGAAGCTTTTTTCCTGAATCAATGAGAATTGTGAGATTATAACTTTTTTTTTTTTTTTTAATTCAGGAAAGACTGAAAAAGGAAACATCTTTCCCTAAGATATCCAACTAGAAGGATTTGTCTGGCTAAAAGGAAAACTTTATTGTAGAATGCAGTATTGCCATATGGGAGAACTTTTTTAAAATTATGGATAATACATAAAGAAAAAAAAATCCTCACAACTGGACCAGTAAGCAACATCATGATAAATGGAGAAAAGATTGAAATTGTCAAGGACTGCATTTTGCTTGGATCCACAATCAACACCCACGGAAGCAGCAGTCAAGAAATCAAATAATGTATTGCATTGGGCAAATCTGCTGCAAAAGACCTCTTTAAAGTGTAAAAAGTGAAGATGCCACTTTGAGGACTAAGGTGCCCCTGACCCAAGCCATGGTATTTTCAAATGCCTCATGCATGCAAAAGCTGGGCAATTAATAAGGAAGACCAAAGAAATAATGCCTTTGAATTATGGTGTTAGTGAAGAATATTGACTATACAATGGACTTCCAAAAGAATGAACAAATCTTTCTTGGAAAAAGTACAGCCAGAATGTTCCTTAGAATCGAAGATGGCGAGACTTCATCTCACATACTCTGGACATGTTATCAGAAGGGACCAATCCCTGGAGAAGGATACCATGCTTGGTAAAGCAGACGGTCAGCAAAAATTAGGAAGACCCTCAACAAGATGGATTGACACAGTGGCTGCAAGATTGGGCTCCAGCATAACAATGATTGTGAGGATGGTGCAGGACTGGGCAGTGTTTCCTTCTGTTGTACATAAGGTCACTATGAGTTGGAACCAACTCGAGGACACCTAACAACAGGCCTCATTCCCCAGAGATTCTGACCCAGGAAGTCTGGAGTAGAGACCAGGAAAGTGTATTTTTTTCTTTCTTTCTTCTTTTTATTGTTGTAAATATACATATGTATTTACATATATATATATATTAAAAAAAAACACAACATTTGCTAATTCAGCATTTTTTACACATACAATTCAATGACAACAATTACATTAATCATGTTGTACAACCATCACCAGTATCCGTTGCCAAATTTTCCATCACTGTTAAGAAAACCATTTTTTTTTTAAAGATCTGTGTTAGTTACAGTATGGTTGTTATTGTTGTTGTTAGGCTCAATCAAGTCGGTTCTGACTCATAGCTACCCTATAGGACAGGGTAGAAGTATTGCTCACAAAATACTCAGGGTGAGGTTGGGAAGGAGGCTGTCTCCATGAAGTCCTTCAGTAACCCAGACTCTTTCCATCTCGTGGCTCCCCCATACCCTAGGGTCATTGTCATTTGCATCCAGCTGATAGAAACAGAAATGACAGGGAGGAGCACATGTGGGAGGTTGTAATGGGCCAGGCCAAAAGTAGAAGAACTCAGTCACATGCACACACCTAGCTGCCAGTGAGGGAAGGAAATACAGTCTAGCTGTTGTGCCAGTAATAAGAGGAAGTGGATTTTGGTGAAAAGCTAGCAGTCTGTCCCATAAGCACACCATGTGATATTGATGCACAGCCAAGTTTGAGATTAACTGGGAAAATGATTAAAAATCCACATTTGAAGATATGGGCTTTTGAATCAAACTAGGCCCTAAACATGGACACTTGACAGCTGTCTGATCTTAGGCAAATTATTTCTTCTCTTTGATGCAGTCTCCTCAGTGTTTTCGTCTTTTAAATGAGAATTAGAAACATCCTACATCATATGATTCTTATTAGACTGAAATTAGACAATATGTTTAAAGTTATTAGGATAATAACTGGCACTTAGTCACATATATTTTATTCTGTTGGTTTGAGAAGAGATTTAGAATACAGTCCCTGAATGTGAAAATGACTTTGTCTCTAGGGAAGCAAGGTATTTCGTTATTTGAGCTAAGAACTCTGGTATATTGGTATCAGAGTACATATTTTGTTCCAAATGAATTCGTGGAGTGGGAAGATTTTAGAAGGTAGAATCTAAGCACAGTAATTGAACACTATAGAAGTTAATTTCTTACTCATGTTAAAGTTCCTTGGCAAGTGTTCAAATAGCTGGCTGCTGTCCTCCCTATGGTCGTTCAGAAATTCAGTCTCCTTCTACTCGGTGGCTCCCTATACATGAGGGCTTTATCATAATTTGTATGCAGTGTAGAGAGATTGTTATCTAGTGCTGCTATAACAGAAATACCACAGATGGATATTGGCTTTAACAAAGAGAAATTTATTCTCTCACAGTCTAGTAGGCTAGAAGTACAAATTCAGGGGGCCAGCTCCAGGGGAAGGCTTTCTCTCTCTGTTGGCTCTGGGGGAAGGTCCTTGTCATCAATCTTCCCTTGGTCTAGGAGTGTCTCTGTGCAGGAACCCTGGGTCCAAAGGACAAGCTCTGCTCCTGGCGCTGCTTTCTTGGTGTTATGAGGTTCCCTGTCACTCTGCTCACTTCTTTCTTCTATTATCTCAAAAGAGAATCGACCCAAGACACAACCTAAGCCTGTAGACGGAGTCCTGCCTCATCAACACAACTGCCACCAATCCCGCCTTACTAACATCATAGAGGCAGAATTTACAACACATAGGAAAATCATATCAGAAGACAAAATCGTTGACAGTCACACAATACTGGGAATCATGGACTAGCCAATTTGACACACATTATTGGGGAACACAATTTAATCCGAGATAGAGATACACTGTGGAAACAGTATGTTCTGTGGTCTGAACTAAGAATTAGGTACCTCAGTATTCAAATATTTGAAGCTCACAGAAAGAAAAATTACCCTAATTAAACATAAAATGAAAGCAACCTTATAACACTAAGAAATTGAAAATGTTGACAGCATAGCTCTCGAGAAGAGATATACAATAATCTGATTATCACATATTTCAGTTCAGAGTGACTGAGATATTTTTAGATTTAACTTTTTGCCACTATACCTAAGGAACTCTTTGAACACTTCCTGAATTAACCCTGAGTTGTACAATGCTTATCACTTGACACAAGCGTTACCATCACTGATGAGCTGAATTCTGCATAATTGAAAGGATTCATTTAAAGAGTGGTTTTGAAGTCTGGCTTAATGCAAGGTCGATGTCTATTCAATGCAGTCACCTATCAGAAGCAGAGATGGCCCTTGTTTAGCATTTCTCAAAGCTGAGTAATGTGTGGGTTTCTTTTTTTTTTTTTTTTTATTGTACTTTAGGTGAAGGTTTACAGAACGAATAGTTTCTCATTAAACAGTCAGTACACATATTGTTTTGACATTGGTTAACAACACCATAACCTGTCAACACTCTCCCTTCTTGAACTTTTTTTGTGTGTGTGTGAAAATATACATAACCAAAGGTACACCATTTCAAAAATTTCTACATACACAATTCAGTGACATCAATTACGTTCTTCCAGTTGTGCTGTTATTCCCACTTTAGATGAAGGTTTACAGAACAAAATAGTTTCTCATTAAACAGTACACATATTGCCCTATGACAATCCAGGTTTCTTTTAAAGAATAATAATTTTCACTAAGCCACAAGAATATATCCATGGTCCCCTGTTCTTCACACTCCAATTTGAGAAATACATTTGTCTTAGTTTCTTAGGACTACTATAACAAAATACCACAAAGTGGGTGGCTTTAAAGAACAGAAATCTATTATCTCACTGTTCAAGAGGCTAGACGTCTGACTTCAGGGCTTCAGCTCTAGGAGAAGGTCCTTCTTTGTCTGTTTCAGCTTCTAGTAGCTTCTGGCAATCTGGAGCTCCTGGGCTTATAGATGCATCTGTCTCCATTGTCACATGGCACCTTCCCCCATGTGCGTTTGTGCATCTGTACTCCCCCTTTATAAGATACCCCTCAGAAGGGATTAGGTTTAGGACCCATTCATTTCTGATATGACCTCATTAACATAACAAAAGAAGCACCCTGTTTCCAAATGAAGTCATATTCACAGGCACAGGGGTTAAGATTTTACATCTTTTTGAGAGTACAATTAAATCCATGACAACATTCCTAGTCAAAATAACGAAGAGCACAATACGTCACTGCACTCCTTACTTTCTCAATTTCTCCATTTTCCAAGTTTCCTGATTTCAGACTCCACACATCCTCCACACTTCGCATCCTCCCAGCTATTACACACCTTTTGCGCTGTTCTCCTCAAACAGCATCTCAGAACATGTCTCTCTCTCTCTGACTTCCCTTATTCCATGCAAATTTACGTCTTAGGACTTGTTCTAGTTTGATGAACTATTGCTGACCTGATGAAATGATCGGCACTCTCCCCTCCCTATCTGCTTGATCCGCAGTATGGTAGTCAATGTTCTCATCTCAGCAGGTTTCCTGAATTCTTGTCTTCTTCTTCTTTTTTTAATTATACTTCAGGTGAAGGCTTACAGAACAAATAGTTTCTCATCAAACAGTAGTACACATATTGTTTTATGACATTGATTAACAACCCCACAACATATCAACCCTCTAACTTCTCAACCTTTTTTTTT